GGGGGGGGGGGGGGGTAGGGCTGCTAAGTAGCTGACAGGCAGGGAAAGGCAATAGAAAACAAATCAATATGGAGATGGGAGGGGACAAATCTGACCTGTGTGCACATATCAGCAAATAAAAGCTTACTTTCACTGCAGGGATAAAACAACAAAAATGGTACATATTCATCAACATTTCCTTGGCTACGCAGAGATGTATAACCTTGTATTTAATACACACAATGCCTGATCACGAAAAACGTGTAAAAAAAGTATTTACATTCTTTAAAGCAAGCATTAATATAGCTCACCTCTGCTATAAGAGCTGCAGATGACAATCAGGACAATCAGAGGCTGTAAATCATGAATATTTAATTTAGAAAAATGGATGGAAGGGGGACAGGATGGAAGAGAAAAGCTAGATAAACAGACTCACCTCTATGTAGTTGAGTATCCCACAGCAAAGCTCAGCTCCTGGGATGGGCTGACATACTGCTCCTCTGGCCTGCTCACGGGATGCTGCTGGAGGACTTCTGTTTCTGGATGAGCACAAATTTACAGCGTCATTGGGCTACTCTGCGTGTACACACTCACACACACATAGTCCTCAGCAGCAGAATGTCAGACACTGCTGTACACACCCAAGAACAGTGATGAAATGAAGGATGCTGAGAGAGAGAGAGAGAGAGAGAGAGAGAGAGAGAGAGAGAGAGTGGGGGGAGGTAGAGGCACATGTGCATCATGAATCAATGTTATTACCACTCCAACAACCAATCAGCTCTTATGCCCCATCACAGAGGAAATCTGTGTGTCTGCTTCCATTTCACTTACAAATATATTTAAATTAAAAAAGGTACTTAGGTGTAGGCTATATATGGTAGATATGCCTATATTAGGACTGAAGTGGATTATCGTCTTTCAAAATGCAATCACATCACACAAGTTAACTTCAAAGACATATAAAATATGAGTTTAATATGCATACTAATTATAACATTTGTTTCTCAATTAATTTAAAGGTTAAATAATGTTTTTACAGTTATAACTAAATATATGACTATTTTTCGTACGTAATATGTTGCTATATTTTTAATATTGCTTTCTAAATAATAATTATTAGAAGAGATAACGTTAAGAATAAACGTTATAAACATCTAAATGTGATTTAATATATTTTATCCTCAAACTCTCATTCTTCGGATGCTTTTCTTAATTTATTTTATGCCATTCGCAGAAATGTAATGACAACAGCGTAAACATTTTCCTATGCTGAGCCTGACCGTTTGACCGTGAGAGAGACCGGAACAAAAATTTAATTGGATTAACGGGTGTTATCGCCTTTGTTATTGGACCAATGAAAGGAGGCGGGTCGCTGCACACAATCTTTAACGCCATTGGTTAGAAATGCAAAAATCCCAACCCACTCTTGACAGTGATTGGCCAGCGACCTTGGCGGGAGGACTCATATGTGTGATTTGAAAAGCGGTTAGTGAGACTCGGCTTGTCAACCGCCATAAAATCGTACAAGAAGAAGAAGGTTAGTGAGACTCGGGTTTTTAGTCGCGCGTGTCAGTGGAATAGTTCGTGCGTTCATAACTTTAATTCAGATAGTTTGAGGCATCTTCGGTAATTCAGAAGGGCTAGTGATTTGACAGCAGTGCAAGGAAGATCTGTTTGTATTATAGTTTAAATTGTTTCGTTTCGTGCTAGACGTTAACCGTGAGAATGGCTGGAACAGAAGGACCTCTGAAGGTACATGATATTTGTTATATGCTCTTCCAATAAGCAGCCTGTACGTTAATTCTGTGGGATACAGTATCATATTGTCTATTTGTTCATATTGTTCAAGTACTCATAAAAGTAGTTACTTTAGGGTTTAGATATGAACAGTGTTTTGCTCCAGTACGCTACACAACTATTTTTTTTCTTTGTACTGCGTTGTTAAGAGTAATGCATTGCTCTTTATCGTCCCTGCGTTTTTGCGTTACATTGTATATTGCATATTAGGAACGAGTTCAGTAAAATGGATTCCTCAAGAGTAAAAAAGTTACCATGGTAACCATCATTTCCACTACAGTTCCATACTGTTGTTACAATGAGCTGGTACATTGGTGTTGGATACCTGTTAGCTTTGAGGTTATCAGTGTACTCCTAAAAGTTGACACCTGTTGTTCCGAATTCTGCACCGCTGTGCCAGATTATGCACCCCCTCGTTGAAGTCGCTACCAGTGTTGCCAAACCCCTCCCTCAGAAAATCTCTAGAACCACCCTCAAAAGTCTAAATTTTTCACAAAAAAATTGCCAAATATGAAAACAAAGTAAATACAGGTAAATTTGGTAAAGGAAAGTGTGTGTATATATATATATATATATATATACATACTTTACAAATGATGACAGTATAAAAAATATAACAAAAGATTAAGTATAACAAAAAATTCTGAAGTGATATTAGGAAATGCTTGTGATCTGCAAGCACATCAAACATGATGAAAAGACACATAATGTTGGGAATTTGTTTTGTGTCACCAAAGTGCATCCCTGTCCTGCTCAAATACAACAGATAAGAGATATTATGATTCTCCAAAAACAAAAACTTTATTCATACAAACATATTTCAGTCAACACACTCTATTACTACAAAAAGTGCAAAACACTGCATCCCAGCACACATGACACGATGATGCTCTTGTCATGTGACCCTTAGTGTTTGCTATAAGTAGCCCTCTTGATGCCATTAGGTGCGTTCGACTAGAAGCACGGCTACAGACGGCGATCAACGAGAGTAGCGGAGGGTCATTTCTGGACATTTCTGCTCCCGATAGTGACGCTCACGCGGTGTTTGCATACTCTATCACAGATGAAGTGAATTAAATGCAATATTTGTCAAATACACAGACGTTTCAGAAACGTTTTCATGAGCAACAGAAACACTTTTAATATGCTGCTTAATACAGCGCCATCTGGCTTTTTGGAGATACGTGTTAAACTTTAGACTTTTTGTTTTTAGTAAATTGGTCACAATATTGATGGCACTATGTTCATGCAGATTTTGTCCAAAATGCTTTATAGAATAAGACTGGCCTTCACCCTAATAACACCTCTCAACCCTTGTATTTTCAAACTACTAATACTGAAGCTCAAACAGTAGTGCATTGTGCTAGCAACAATCACTGGGTCAAATTGACCCGCAACATAATATAAAGCAGAAAACCTTTGTACTGTTTGCAGTCATCATATCTGTCTCGATTTCCAAAAAAAAGTGCTTTAGTTTCTTTTACCAATCTTACAATGCATCATAATTGCTGTAACATAGTTTTTTTTTAGAGTTTGTTTGAGAATAAGCCTCTCAGTAAGCCCAAGAAAGATGGGAAGCGTCTGTCTGTGGAAAGGATTTATCAGAAGAAGACCCAGCTGGAGCATATCCTGCTCCGGCCCGACACCTACATAGGCTCAGTGGAGCCTCTTACTCAGGTAGAGATCATCCACATCTCCTGAAAGGTCATATTTATTAGGGCCATGGGCACCCACTGTTTATGAATAATGCATGTCAACAGTAGAATGGTTATTCTGAAGTGTTCACTCACTTTACTAAGGCAAGAATGCTTGCTGAACTATACAATAAATAAATAAATAACCAAGTTAAGAGGTTGAGTCTCCTTCATTCTGTGAAGAACCTGGCCAGCTCATATTTTCAGATGGAAGTGCCATCACAACTGTACTGTAGAATGACCCAACGTTTCTTTGCTTTCTCTCTCCTGCTTAGCAAATGTGGGTGTTTGATGAGGATGTGAGAATGAACTGCAGAGACATCACATATGTGCCAGGACTCTACACAGGGTTCCCACGCTTCTTGAAAGTACTTGCATTTCAGATATATGGATTCAAGGCCTGGAAAGTACTTGAAAACAAACATAGGTCCTTGAAAGTGCTTGAATTAAATTTGAAATAAATATAGTTTATGCAGGGATTACATTTTTCCATCGCTATGACGGATTTCCGTCAATTGGAAAAAAAATTTGGGGAAAAGAAACATGTAGCGCATTGTTGTTGTTGTTCTGCCGGCACACCAAAAATCATTTCCGGCCATGGCTGCAGCTTCTCAGTGACAACATAGTGACGCCGCTCGCATCATTCACAGTGGGGTTATTAGCAGAGAACACAGAGCAGGACTTGAATTTCGGCCCGGGATTGCGGCTATTAATTACAATTGTACTCATTCCCGCAGGTTCCGCGCTTATAACACGATGACAGATGACGGAACGTATCATTTGCACGTGCTTTTGAGTCTTGAGAACTCACTCGCGCGCACTCATTTTCTGTGCGTCCACAGATCGCGATAAGGAGAGTGACAACTTTTAATAGTTATTAAGGGAGTTTGCAAATGTGATATTTATTCAATACAACAGTTCAGTAAACAAGTACTGCCTGATTCTGCTCTATTTCTTTAACGAAAATAGTTCCAAATATAGTAACAGCTCAGCCGCCAGTGGCTTGTCACCACCTGCTGGCGGATTTAGTTTCATTTTTAGCTTATAATTTCAGTTATTTAAATCATTGAATATACCTGTATTCAAAATTTTATATTTAAAACATTAATCTCCACATAAATGTATGAATTTAATTGCACACATGCCAGCTCTGAGCCTCATTAAACGTCTGAAAATTTACCTGTGCCACCTCTAATTTTTTTATTAATACTAATTTCATATGATTGGTAAGCTATTTGTCTTATTCTACTTCTTCTTATATTGTTTTAAATAGAAATTTTAAAAAGCTTATAAACATAAATTTTTGAATTTGACAGATGAAAAAGATGCCATTACACCAAATACACAAAATAATGTTATTTTTAGCAACATCATATGACCCCTTTAAAGAAAAGTTTATGCTTGCAGAAAGCCTGTTTTATGTTGGCTATTTTTTAAAGCAATCAATGACAAACTAGCCTCACATGAATGACCTGATTTCTTCGTTTGTTTCTTTTTAAAACGTGTTACAACATTATTGCACATTACCCTTGTTCATTGTTGCTTTTTATACATGTTGTATTGTCTTGTAAATATTTTATATGTGCTTTTGTTCAGAGCTTGTAATACATTTTGAATGAGATTTGTTTGACTGGTTTTATGAATACACGTTTCTAATCAATTCCACAAATGACTGAAAAGCGTGTACTGTGGCATCCACAGTATTGATTACAATATCTGAATGTTCTCATTCTGATCCCCACTTTGAACTCAAGTCTCTTAATACCAAGGTGGGTTTATGCACATAAGCAAGAAACTGAATTTATATAAATTTAGATTTGACATCTGCACTGGCAACAGCCATGTTTGAATTTGTACTGTTAAAAATGTGACATTATTAGACTTGCAGTCACAGTGATTGTTTTGTGGCTTTTACTCCATGTCCATTATATGATAGCTCCCTTTTTGCATCCAGATCTGTTAGGTGCTTTATTAGTTATTAATATACTAGTCAGTATTTGATGTCCTGAAATAATTTTATGAAAAATTAAATGTCTAAATGACTACTAGTCCAAGGCTTGTCTAACTTTCTGCAAAAAGGAAACCATGTCGTTGTAATCACTAGAAGTGCAAGTCAATATTTGAAAAGTTCAACCATCTCTCATGGCCATTACTAGATCTTAACTGCAAAATATGCAATGTTTATATTTAATAGATGAAATTTTAAAGTTGGAAGAATGGGTCATTTTCAAGATTTATTCAAATGCCCCTAAGAAAAGAATGACTGGTTTATATATATAATGTTTTATATATTAGTGCTGTCAAATGATTAATCGCATAGAAAATAAAAGCTTTTGTTTGCATAATATATGTGTGTTCTGTGTATATTTATTATGTGTATATATACAGTGGGTACGGAAAGTATTCAGACCCCCTTAAATTTTTGGACAGCTCAATATATATATTTTAAATAAAGTATGTGCATGTACTGGGTAATATATGGGTACAATTAATCTTGTATATGCAACTGACATGAAATTTGAATGCTGTTGATGTGTATTAAATGATCAGAACAATATAATTGCCATGATATTTGCTAAATGTCTTTAATTGATCAGTTATAAATCGTTCCTAACAAGTTAATAATCCTTACATTATCAATTAAATGTTAATAATTTGTTTTGTGCTTCTACAGTCAGATATTTTGGTATAATGACCTAAATAACAGTTATTGACAGCTGTCCAAAGCAGTCGATATATATAATCTGTGGGTAACACTTTAGAACACACTATTAAGAGCTTTTATTATTAATTCACTATTAAGAGCTTTCCCTCAATAAACTTCTAATTTGCTGCTTAAGTAAGGTAGTTGTTTGTAGTAGTTATGTTTAGGTACTGGGTGGGGTTAAAGGATGTAGAATATGGTCATGCAGAATAATGCATTAATATGTGCTTTATAAGTAGGCTACTAATAAACAGCCAATATGCTAGTAATATGCATGCTAATAAGCAACTACTAAATAGTGAATAGTGTTCCCTAATTTAAAGTGTTACCAAATTGTGTAATAAGCAGGACATTATCATTACATAATTTTCTCGTGGATCTCAACATGTTTATTTGCAACACCTCATTGCAGCCAGGAGATGGTAGAATTGTCTAATTTACTCGCAGCACTGTTTCAACCTGTCTTTCTCCTATTTGTCTTTGCTCTTCTTCACTGATACTGAGGCAATTGCGTAATATCAGCTTTGTTCATCAACTGTGTTCACTGTTCAGCAATGTGAATTTAATCCTAAAAGTCATAGGTGGATTAAAAAGGCACTCTTATTATTTGTCCAGAAATTTCTCAGTTACAGTGTCTTTGATCATGTGAAAAAAGTAGGTTTTACATTTAATTGAAAAGGGTCAAAATAGATTAATATCATTATCATGTTCAAACTTATACTTAGTAAAAAGTTAAATAGAAAGCAATCAGATATATAACTTTTAACCTTGGACTAAACCCTGATTCTCTTGATGATCTGGTGTGAAGTCAAGACAATTATCCCTCCTCTTTAAGAAAATGTCACTCAATTAGCAAACAACAATGATCCAATAAAAAATTCCCAATGGAGAAAATGAAGTCCCGTCCTACATTTTTTTCTCATCCATTTTACTCGGCTATGTGTCACAAAAGAGAAGAAAAGATGATCACAATTTCCGTTTCATGCCAACTTTAAGCCCCAGAAATCCTCCCCTCATAACACCACTGTTCTAAACCCCAGGTTAATGGAATCCTGGGTTATCTGGTGTTGTTTCACATTGCTCATACTTTGCACTGGGTTAACAATTAATATTGGGTATTCATAATCTTTATTAATTCTTCTTATTTAAGTAGTTGCAGCCCTGACCGGAAGTAAACTGTTAACTGTCACTAAGCAACAGCATATGGAAGGCTTTCAATCATTTATTAAAGTTACAAAAAACGTCATTCAAAAAAATCAAATGAAGATTGCTTTTGGCATTAAACTGTAATCAAACCTCATACCATAAAACAAAATGACCTAATCTGTTTCCTAAATTAGCTATTTTCCAATAGTAGATGTTAAAGTACTAGTCACTAAGTAGCAGTTAAAGCAAAGTCCCTTTCAAGGAAAGTCTGTTCACCCAGCGGCCATATTTGCAATGCTTTTGGGAAGCTATTTCTGGCATGCAAGACCAAGTATCTACTTGAATGTGGAAATCCTAGAATCTCCAAAAATGCTTGCCATAGTCACATATAACATTTCAAATCAGCAACAAAATCTGACATGAATGATCCCCTGATTTCGTTTGCTCAAATAGTGTTAAAAAGCTTTTATTTCAGGTTGGTCCAGCCAATGCACATGTGCAGTCCTAAGCCCGCGTCTCAGAACACTGGCTGTCTACAGAAACCGGAGTTCCTAACAGATGCAGAGACGCAATGACTTTACCACCTCGCGACTGGCTCTTTTATTTTAAAGGTGGGTGTCATAATTTCACATTGCACTTTCTCCCATTTATAGCAATTTGAGTGCACCATCTTGGTATATCTAAAGTCTTTGATTTGAGGCACACGCTGTTCAATGTCTGATCAGGTGCCTTGTCAAAGCTTCTTGCTGTTTTAAGGGACTGTTCACACAGAATGCAGCATGAATGAAAAATTAATTAATTAAAAAAAATACGCTAAAAATATTTTTTTCTAGTAGAGAACGCTTTTAGAAAGCTGTATCATGCAAGACGCTGCAAATTTACAAGATGCAAGCTCAATGGTTCATCTAGCAAATGTTTACATGGCAGTGCAGTGGAATGCAAAAACGCATTCTGTGTGAATGGTCCCCAAGACCGTTGCACTCACACCTTGCATCTTTTATAGTCTTTCGCACATAACACATTTAAAAAACGCGACACAGATCAACTTCTAAAAAATGCATCTCCAAACCATGTGTTTTTTATACTCCAGTGTTCCAAGTCTCGAGTTTTTCAACACAGAAACGCATTGTGTATGAACGGCCCCTTAGACTATTGCACTCACACCTTGCATATTTTGCAGAGTCTCCCACATAAAAATGCACCGCTCTAGTTCCACAAAAATGTGTCTAAACTTTGTATTTTTTTCTATTTCATATGTCTCCCATTTTTAAATGCAAAAATGATTTCTGTGTGAATAGCCCCTAATACAACATTGTTTCCCTATGTTCACTTTTTTTCACAGCAATGCAGGGTTATCCCTATCCCCGCAAAAGCAGTGTAGTTGGATTTCATAACTCTGGGTCGAAAACAATGATAACCTCTCTTCCAAATTACAAGGGTTAAATGCAGGGTCTAGAATGATGATAAACCAGGTTTAAGCACAGTGTAAAAAGCCCTGTAGACGTCTTGTTTCATACGTTGTTTATCGTTGATCGGCCAGTTTAGTAGGACTAGTAGCAGCAATAACACTGTTTAATGTTGGTTTATAGATTGCTTAAAGAAAGGAAGAAACTGCCCCCCCCCCCCCTATCTGTGCCTGCGGGTGTGTAGCTGCATGTATGCAGATTGGGTTCTTGTATTCCTTTGATCCGCATGAAGGGAATTATAGATGGCTTTTACGTAACTGTTCTCCTGCCCAAAGAGTAAAAAAAGATTAACGTCTCAAACTTTATCCTGCATTACTCCCAGTGTTTTTCTTCCCTCCCTTTATGAAGCCCGGCAGGCTTGTGTGCAGTGTGGAGCTGTGTCTGTATTTAGGTCATCTCACTCAACGAGTGATTCTCTGCATGAAGAAAAGGAACAGAGAGGAGCTGTGGGAAATATAGGTGCCGGTACTCCCCTTCTTTGCATATATATGCGGGTAGAGAGACAGGCAGAGAGAGGCAAACTGAAATGTACATTAACTCCTAAAAGCACCCAAAAAACAAGAATAAATGGAAATATTTGTTTTTTATTTACTGACAATGCTGATGGATATTAATTGTGACAGACCTAATAGATAGCCTATATATTTGCTCTCTAATGGTGTGTTTGCAAGCACAGGGCTTTTTTTTGTTTCTTTTTCTTTTTTTGGTCAATGTTTGTAATGTTGAAAAGTAGCTCAGCAGTGACTGCCTGAGATAGAATTAAACTACCAATAAACTGCTTTTCCCATGAAATACTGCAGTAGATAAAATCAAATCAGAAATGAGAATACAATATGAAATTATTGTCACTGATATAAAAACATTTAGAACTATATATAAAACTATAGATTTATATATTCTAGCAATTACGGTAATTACAAGATGAAAACCCACGATGTTCTACTCTGAGCTGTTCACATCCTCTGATTCGGAATTACATGTTCCTTTGGCAACATTATCAATGGCAAAATGATTCTGCAGAGGTCAGGTGGTACGGCGGTCATGTGGTACAAATCAGAGCTCTCATAAATTCCTAATTTACAAGTTGTAAATACGAGTTCTACAAGTTCTATGCTTCTTACAAGTTGAAATGCACCCGTGCTTCTTACAAGTGAATGCACCCGTAAAAAAATTCAGTTGCATTGACAAATGCGAATGTTTGTGTGAATGGACACATTAATAGCTATTCATTAAAATGAAAATGTTCATTGTTCCAGAAATTTGTGCGGAATATTAATGGACAGCCCTTTAGATCAAAAACATAGTTAAGTTAGTTCAGTTGTCTTCATTTATAGCTAGATGCCAACTGCCTGAATAAAAACACATAGGGTGTAATAGCAGACCATTTTTTTAAGAAGTACAGACGACAGTAGTGGTAGTTGAGAGTTGTTGATATGCAAGAATATGCATCAGACCACTTCAAGCACTGGAGAGAAAAAAAATGTCTTTCTCTGGTTTTCCCACCAAACTTTCCCTGCTTTATCCTCCCACTGTAATCTTCCTCTTACTCCCCAAGGACATGCGTCTCTCTCTTCTCAAAGATGACATCATATTTCATGTACGGAAGCTTTTAGAGTATACAGTACATCTCCAGCAGGCACATGAACTCTGTGGCCCTCTCGTGCCTGGGAATGGCTTTGTGTGATGTAAACAGGGTAAATTGACGTGGTTACGGTGGGGGAAGGTTTGGTGAAATATTCTGCCCTATGATTGGAGAAATTCTCTGACATGGAGCTCAAACATTCTGTTTCTGGTTCATTTCCTTCCTCTTTTGGGGTCAGTGTGTTTAGTCAAGCCTGATTGCCATCCGTCTATCTGTTGTTTGGGAGAAAGAGAATGTGTGAGTGTTGTGTCCTGTCATCTGCACATCTATCTATGTTAATCAGACGGCTGTACGAATAAGCTGCAGTATGGACCTCTTCTTTATTGGTTGAAAGGAACAAATCATGATACCAGCCAAAACCCGGAAACAAGTTAGTGTTTTAGCACCTCCAGTTCCATCGTCCTGAAGTCAATGTTTTTGGTTAAATGCAAGGTCTATGGTTAGCACACTCTCAAGATATTGTGACTATGACAAAATACGACCATGACCATATATTACTGATTAATATACGGAAGTCCATTTCCGCCATAAATAAAAAATAAAAAAAAGTTGCGAGAAATAGGTAATTTACAAAGGTAATTTAATTTATAAAGGTAAAGGTAATTTATATCTCGCAACTCTGACTTTATAACACACAATTGAGACTTAATATCACACAATTCTTACTTTGTAAATTGCAATTACGAGTCTATACCATGCAATTCTGAGAAAAAAAGGTCAGAATTGGAAGTTTA